GCACCCCCCCCCTCTAAAACAAACTATGCATGACGATCTTTACGATGACAGCAAGGGTAAGTCTACTTTTCAGCATCCTGTCCACCTCTCTCTTACATTGCTAACATTAACATCTTCCTTCAGTACTCTTCTTTTCTTAGCAGATCGATTGACGTGGCAACGGAGACAGGCTCTCTGGAAGCAGGACTGGATGGACATGGGACTAGACTAGGGATTGGTACACTCATTTTTTCATTGTAGATTGTGTACCCCTTGCACTGCTAACCATCACTACTCGTTTGCCTACCCCTTACCCTTTGCCCACTGACACTTACACTAAATTAGTCATTCCAAGTCCTCTACTATTGCAGATTTCTCTTTCCCCTCCCCATATAGCTTGAACGAAGTCCCTTCACTCAATAAAACTTACTTGAAACCATCTCCATGACTACTGTCTCGATTCATACGGCGAAGGAACAGAGATTTTGCTGTTGTTGCTTTGTCTTTGGCTTGAACTTTTTTTTTTTTGTGTACAATAAAGTTTTTACTCTGTGTCGAGTGTATGAATAAGCGAATCTCGCTTTTAGACTTGACTACTTTGCAGTTTGAACGCTATCGACTTGAACACCATTGTTTCAGGCACATCCCAGTTCGAAAAACCAAAAAGCAGGCAATTTTTCCAAACGTCGCTTTTTAAAAAAAGGATGGACCATCTCCCCTGAAAAGTGTCGTTTTTTGTTGGACATGGAATTTTTCGCAAAAGAGATAAAAAACCTTGACTCAAATTTTACATGAAGAAAGCAGTGCTTCCTATCTACTGAATGATATCAAAGATGTTGAATTTCAGTGGATCAAATACCAACTTTGGTGCCACTGGAATCAGTCGCTGTTTTGGGGCTAAGTATAGTGTTCAGTGAAGCATGCAGGACAGGTATACTTCAAGTTTAATATCCTTCGATAGATATGCTCTTTATTTTGTTCCATGTGAAATTTTTAGATGGGTCATTCATCTCAGTTTTGAAAAACAGGGCATCTCGTCATAAAAATCTACAGCTCCAAATCGAAAAGTTTCTACAAGTCAAATATATTCAAAGACCGCCCGCCCACTTTATTTCACCCCCTCCTTTTTTTCAAACTCTGGTGTGCGATTTTGTCTAGACTTGGCACACCGGCGCATGACATAGTTTCTTAAGATGGCTGGAGCATATTCAAAAGAGTAAAGCCTTGGAGATGGTTTCAAGTATATTTTTTATTGACTGAATGAGATTACAGATGAGCTACGAGTAGGACTTGTCATGGATTAACTAGTCTAGTGTAATGAGCTACAGAATAAAGAAAGGGGGAGCTGATCAGCAGTACTAAAAGTATCCGCGATAGTGTGCGCACGGACTGGTCCAAGGGAGGGGGGGGCTTTCAAGTACAATGGCTACAGAATCTACAATGGAAAAGTGAGCGCACCTAAGTGATGCCTTGCGTCCAATCCCTAATCTAACTACAGTGTTCATCCAGTCCTGGTGCCAGAGAGTCTATATCCGCTGCCATCCTGTTGATTCCTATAAGAAAAAAGGGAGCAATGATGCAAAAGGCAAATGTTAGCCATGGTAAGACAAAAGATGGACAAGCCGGTGAGAAGGAGATAGTTACCCTGCGTTCATAGCACAAGATCTCTGTATAGGGGGTGAGCTGTTTGTGGTGCGGTGCCAATGTTGATGGAAAGAAAAAAGTGATGGTGAAGCGAAGAAGAAGCGAAAGTAGACAAATGAATCTGGTCGGTACTTTTGAAGCCAATGTTGGCGGAGTTGGAAATTATGTTGGCGCTGCCTTCAAGTCCGAACTTTTTTCTTGGAAGTGGAAGCTCTTCTTTCATTCATTCACTTTAACTTTTCCGTTTTTAATCCTCATCAGTCTCTACCGCCATGGATATGATAAAAAGTGTGCAGCATTACGTCGACAAGATGATTGACGATGTCCCGGGTATGAAAACACTTCTTCTGGACATTGAAACAGTAAGCTCACCCACTTGAATGTGTGTATGTATTGTGGTTGATGAAGAGACTTACCAACGTTTCTCTTGCTATTAGACACCCATTGTCTCTTTGGTTACTACTCAGTCGGCTCTTCTCACTAAAGAATGCTACCTTATTGACCGCATTGACAATCGCCAAAGGGACAAGATGAAGCATTTGAAGTGTATCTGTTTTATCCAGCCGACCAGGGAAAGCATTCAGTACCTTGTTGAAGAACTACGCGATCCTGCTTATGGCGACTACTACATATGTAAGTGTTTGTAACTTTCCACGAGGACTGACAACTCATTGAACTCCTTTGCTTTTGGATCTGTTATTTAGTTTTCAGCAATACCCTACCAAAGGCAGACTTGGAACGACTGGCGGAAGTTGATGAACATGAAGTGGTGCGTGAAGTGCAGGTACGTATGTCTGTGAAAAAGGAAGCGGAGATCTATACACAGAGTATTAAACATCATCGTTCTCATTATAGGAATACTTTGGTGATTATCTCGCTATCAACTCTGACCTATTCTCCTTTGGCATGTCACCCTATCACCTGTTTGGCAATGATGCGACCAAGTGGGACTCGACTGCTTTTGAACGCTGTGTTCGTGGTGTTAGCTCTGTATTGCTCAGTTTGAAGAAGAAACCAGTCATCCGATATGAACAGTCTAGTCCAATGGCGAAACAGTTGGCTAATGAATTACAGGCAAGTCGTGGACAGAAAGGGAGGGGATCTGCGGGGCTCTTACTTACTACTTTCCCGTTCTCTTTTTTGGCTTTGCATATTAGCGTCATATCCAACAAGAAGGACAACTGTTTGATTTCCGGCGCCCTGATACACCTCCGATCTTGATGATTCTTGATCGCCGCAATGATCCTGTCACACCCCTTCTCGCACAGTGGACTTATCAAGCTATGGTACATGAACTGATTGGGATTCATCATGGACGGGTGGATATGTCCAATGTGCCTGACATACGGAATGAACTCAAGGTAAGAAGTCGAAAAGAAAGCACCGAATCTCATCACAGTGTCATGTTTCTGCTGTTGCATCTTGTCGTTAGGAAATCGCCTTGTCACCCGATCAGGACCCTTTCTTCAAAAAGTCAATGTATTGGAATCTCGGCGATCTCGGGGCAAACATCAAAAAATATGTGGACGAATACCAAACGAAAACGAAATCCAACATGAACATCGAATCCATCGCCGACATGAAACGTTTTGTAGAAGAATATCCTGAATTCAGAAAGCTCTCCGGCAATGTATCGAAGCACGTGGCATTGGTCAGCGAACTCAGTCGACGGGTGGCCCAGGATCGCCTACTGGAATTGTCTGAACTGGAGCAAAATCTGGCATGTAATGAAAATCACAACTCGGATCTGAAGGTAACTTGGAGCTGTGATGATAATGACGGTACTCAACTCACACGGTAACATACTTTTCACATCATGTTGGTGATCTTAGAACATACGACAAATGATTGAAGATCATGCTATATCGGATCCCTCCAAAATTAGGCTGGTCCTTCTTTATGCTTTGCGATACGAAAGAATGCCAAACAATGCAATCAAGTCTCTCGTCGATCTGTTGGATAACGTTGGTGTTAGTGAAAAGTACAGCGCGGTAAGATGTCACATACATTTGAGGCATGATCGGAGTTACTAACTCAGGTACAATTTCATGATAGTTGGTCCCTGCCATTTTGTATTATGCCGGCTATCAACAACGACAAGACAACTTATTCTCCAACCAAACATTCCTATCAAGAGGAAAAAGCGTACTCAAGGGATTGAAAGGTGTCGAAAATGTATACACTCAGCACACGCCGGTATTAGGTGAAACGTTGGACTCGTTAATCAAGGCTCGGTTAAAGGAGACAGACTATCCTTTTGCAGACGGAACATACCAACAGCCAAGGGAAAGGTAAGCAGGTGATGGTGAAGAAAAGGGCATGGGAGATTCATATACTCACTTCTTGGGTGGGGATATCATGTTAGACCACAAGACATCATCATCTTTATGATTGGCGGGACAACTTTTGAAGAAGCCCGATACGTCGCTCAACTGAATGCAACTGTACCGGGTATACGCATTGTTCTTGGCGGCACTTGTATCCACAACTCGACAAGGTAATAACAAAAGGGACTATGAAGTTACAATGTTGATCCTGTGGAATCTCATGCAAAGCATTTTATCTTCTTCTTCTAGCTTCATGCAACAGGTGGAGCAGATCGGTAAAAGCTACATGAACTAGTATAGCTACTATATCCCCCCCCCTCTACCTACACTCTCCTTAACGATAGATATGCTAGTTGTATGCCTATTCATGCTAGTATTATGAACCCAAATAAAACAGAGGCATGATCGACTTCCTCTTTACTGACTTTTATCATTTTTCTTCGACGATGCAACACATAACACCGTGATATTCCAACACACCATATACAAGACATGTACGATTGCTACAGTTCGTTGCCATGGGGACTAGTATCTAATTAATGTCATAGAACCGAAGACGTCAAGGCAACCATTGGCTTTCCTTATTTGGTATACAAAGGTTTGCTGACCGCCATTTGCAATCCTGCGACCTGTGAAATAAAAAGGATTCCAAAAAGCTGCAATCTTTATACATCCACCATACTGTATCCACTATGACTGACTAACTTTCGTCATATCAGTGGAACAAAAGGGAAAAAAGACGGTACATCATTACAAACTCCGACCAACGCAGAGGAAAAACAAAAATGAGACGACCTCGACGGGACTCGAACCCGCAGTCCCCAGATCCGAAGTCTGATACGATATCCATTTCGCCACGAGGCCTCGAATTGGAAATTTTTATTTGCACTGCTATATAAAGCATACTTTACGTTTTAAACTCCGCCTCCATGTGATTGGTCAGTTTACAAAAGATATGATGTAATTGGACGATGGACGCGGAGATTGAAACTGCTGAAGATCCTCCCCACCGGCTACAAAGAAGCCTTTCTTCCATTAATCCATTTCTTTGCTTCGTCTTTGCTTCTTCATCACCTTTTTTTTTCCATCGACATAGGCTCCCCACAACAAACGATTCGCTTTCTATACGAAGATCTTGAACGACGAACATAAGGTAACTCTCTCCTCTTCACTATCTTATTCATCTTTATCTTACCATTCATCACTTTTCTTTTTTTCCATCGACATTGATACCGCACAACGAACGGCTCGACCTCTATACGAAGGCTATGAACGACAAACGCAGGGTAACTCTCTCCTCCTCACTATCTTGTTCATCGTTATCTTACCATTCATCACTTTTTTTTCCCATCGACATTGATACCGCACAACGAACGACTCGCCCTCTATACGAAGATTTTTAACGACAAAGCTAGGTAACTCTTTCATCCTCACTATCTTGTTCATCTTTATCTTACCATGCCTAACATTAACATGCTCCATCATTACTCTTCTTTTTCTTAATTGACCGAACTAGATGGCAACGGATATAGGCTCTTTGGCTCCAGGACTGGATGAACATGCGGTTAGATTAAGGATTGGAGGCAAGGCATTACGAAAAACTCAAGGAAACCTTCGTAATCTTTTTAGGTGCACTCCCCTTCCATTGTAGAGTGTCTTGACAATGTACCTTTGAAGCGGGCCAGCTCTTGGAAAAGTTTGTGCGCACACTACCACTGATACTTTTAGTACTGCTGACCAGCTCTCCCTTTCTTCATTCCCTAGGTCATTACACTAGATTAGTTATTCCTTGGCAAGTCCTACATATAGCCTAACCATAGTCTTCTTCAGTCAATAAAAACCTACTTGAGACCTTCTACATGACTTTATTCTTTTGAGTGTTTGAAAAAAAAAAAAAACGGGGTGCGGGCGGCTTTTGAACACTTTTTTTTCGATTTCCAGTTGTGAATTTTTGTAACGAGTTGCCCTGTTTTTCAAAACTGAGATGGATAACCCATCTCCAAATTTCACATGGAGCAAGATGGAGTCTTCATCGATCAGAGGATATTAATCCTGAAGTACATCATTACTGCATACTTCTTAATACGCAGCATTAAGCCCACCAAAAAGCAGCTGACTCCAGCGTCATCAAAGTGGGCACACCCTTCACCTAAATCCCACATTGCTGGTATCATTCGGTAGATATATAGCACTCTTTTCTTTGTGTAAAATTTGAGAAAAGGTTTGTCATCTCTTTCTTGAGAAAATCGAAGTCCAACAAAAAGTAACACTATTCATAGGGGGGGGGGGATTCTAGGGGCAGGTCCATAATAAGTCATTCTTTAAAAAAAAAGGATTGAGCCATCCCTTTGGAAAAAGTTTTGTTTCTCTTTTTTTCTCCCAAACTGAATGAACGACCTACGTCCAAATTTGGCAAGGATATGGACGTACTTCGTATCTTTTGCATGATACCAAGAGCGCCTGGTTTCCTTGAATGAGTTCACTTTTTTGGTATGTACCGCTCCCATCGGTCACTTTTTTAAGACTTATTGTAGCCTTCATGGACCCATTCTACATCCAAATGCATGTTTCTCGGTATCATTCAATAGATACGGAGCACGTCTATATCCTTGCCAAATTTGAATGCAGGTTGTCCATCTCAGTACTGAGAAATAAAGCATTCTTTACAAAAAAAAAGGTTGAGCCATCCCTTTGGAAAAAGTTTTGTTTCTCTTTTTTCTCCCAAACTAAATGGACAACCTGCGTTCAAATTTGACAAGAATATGAACGTGCTTCGTATATATTGCATGATACCAAGAGCGCCTGGTTTTCTTGGATGAGTTCTCTTTTTTTCGCACGTACCACTCCAATCTGTGGCTCTTTTTGTTGCCTGTGTAGATAGCCCAAAAATCAAGGTAGTTAAATCGTAGACGAGTCCCGTTTATCCATACACATTTCACAGAGTGAAATTCTTAGTGTACACACACACAAAAAAAAAAAAAGTCAAGTCAGACAAACAGCAGCGCAATCTTGGTTCCTTCGCCCAAGTTTGGGCCAAGCGATTAAGACGGTAGTCATAGAAATGGTTTCAAGTACATTTTATTGAGTGATTGAGATTATGTTTAAGCTATATAGGGAGGGGGAGCCTGCGAAGATATGTGCATGGCTTGGAAGGACTATTCTAGTGTAATGACCTACGGAATTGAAGGAGAGAGCTAGACAGCGGTGCCAGAAGTGGCAATGACAGTAGACCAATAGAGCAGTGGCCCAATAGAGTGAGTAAATGAGCAGTGATGTTCAGTCGTGCAATGGCTAGAGAATCTACAATGTAAAAGTAAGCGCACCTAAAAGAAAACTTGTGAGGGTTTCCCAAGGCTTTTCGTAATCCCTAATCTAACCATATGACCATCCATTCCTGCTGCCAGAAAGCCTATATCCGTTGCCATCCTGTTTAATCTACTGAGAAAAAGATGAGTGTTGATACAAAAGGCAAATGTTAGTCATGGTAGGATAAAGATGAAGATGCTGAGAAGGAGAGAGCTACCCTGTGTTCGTCGTTTGAGGCCGTTGTATAGAAGGTGAATCGTTCGTGATGCGGTTTTAATGCCGATGGAAGGAAAAAAGTGATGAAGAAGCAAAGAAGAAGAAAGAAAAGGAATGAGGGCAAAAAGTGATTTTTGTGGCCAAATGCGGAGTTTAAAAATGAGGCTGGATGGGAAATTGTGTGGGAATTTTCTGGCGGGGCTATAGGCTTTCCTTTCCTCAAATCTTTTAGCTTCGCTTCTCTTCCGTTTACTTTTTGACGACAATGTTTGAATGCACACAATTCTCATTTAGACGATTCCATGCGACACGATTACCTATACCTACACTACCTTCTATTACTTGACCTATGGCTTTCTCATGCCTGCGCACCAAAAGATCCATGAAAGTAAGACGCTTTATTGAAACAATCTCTCCTCATGTACTGACCTCTCCTTTCTAGTTATTCAGAACATCTTCGTTGCTAACGAACGTTTGTGAAGGCTCGATCATCTCTCCCTTTGGCACTATCGATGGACAGGTAAATAAGAATAAAAAAAGCGAGCTGTATTGTATACGTTACTAACTCAACTTGCGCTCTTGACTCTTTTTGACCTGCGAACTAGTAGGCGAACCGTCAATAGCCGAAGGCACGAGTGTAAACGACGGGATGTCAAGGGTAGAATCGATCGATCATGCTATCTCTTTTACTTCATCTCCTGATAATAACCAGTGGTAAGGAAATCGTATGAACTAGTCTTCATTCATTCATCAAAACCTGTCCCTTATAGAACATAGCCACCCTTCGCTTTTGCTGTCTATGGTAACGGCAAAATGGATTCGTTTGATACATGCTAACCAATTGTATTTTCTTTAGAGAATCGAAACTGTATGCATGACCAATCTCGAACAGTCTCAACCAAGTCTGTGCGTCGAACCCAACCTTATACTCTTCCATCAGCACTTCATCATCAGGTGACCCGGGGGCGTTCGGCTACTACGTCTTTCTCCATGACCAACCAGTGATATATCAAATGGAACTTCACCCAACTATAATCAGCCATTGTATACTTTTATCACCCATGGACTATCACCAAAGGGGCCCGACACCGCCACCAACTTGGCACCTTATCTCTCTGCACCTTGCATGCTTGAATTTCAAATCAACGTTGGTAACGAAATCGTCTTATGCACCAAGTCATACGGTACGTAACAGCAAATACGACGACAACGGTGACGACGACTTGACGATTGGACACCTGGACATGAAGAAACCGGGGATGGTGATTGGTTGATCTGAAACATATTCTTGAATGAACTGGGTCTCTTGTGATGGCATGGCTCTCTTCGGGGGGGGGG